CTGTTGTAACAGTTGCCTGGGCCTATGTGTGTGTGTGTGTGTGTGTGTGTGTGTGTGTGTGTGTGTGTGTGTGTGTAATATATATATATATATATATATATATATTATTGATTTCAGAGAGGAATGGGAGAGGGAGAGAGAGAGAAACATCAGTGATGAGAATCATTGATTGGCTGCCTCCTGCACACCCCCACACTGGGGATCCAGCCTGCAACCTGGGCACGTGCCCTGACCAGGAATCAAACCAGTGACCTTTTGGTTCATGGCTCAACCACTGAGCCACACCTGCCAGGCTTGATGTGACTCTTCTTTGATAACTTCCTGTGGCACTGTTTCGTTGGAAAGAGCTTCATTTTGGCGTGGATGACTGCTTTCAGGGGCCCTTGTCACATGTCTCTCACTTCCAGAAGCTGATAAGCCCGATGGGACAGGACTGGGGGTACCCCCTGCTTCCACTTACTTAACAGAGAGTTCCAAGAATGCATCATTTCTGCTTTTGCGTCATTACTACTCTTAGGTAGAGATTTAAAAACCCGAGGGAGAGCACACTGTGCGTTTGCCTGATTTAGCATGAACATTATGCCGCATCCTACTCAGGTGACTGGGTGCGACAGTTCTTTTTCCTTTCTGCTCTGCTTGCCTCCCGGCTCTGCTGAACTCCCTGCACTTACAGCCGCTGTGCCCTCAGCTCCTTTTTCAGTCTTAACTCAGCCTTCGTTTCCTCTGGAAGCTTTCCTAGACCCACCGATCTGATAGCGATGCCTCTCTGCGTGTTGCCATAGCATTTTGGCTTTCCCTATCGTAGCGCTTATCTCACTGACTGCAATTGTCTGTTTATCCATCTGCCCACTTCCCCTGCTGCCCACAAGGCTGTGACAGGGCCTGTGGCTTGCTCACCTCCGTTTCCTCAGTCTCTGCACAGTGTCCAGCATGTTAGTGGCCTGGTTACAGGTACTTGTTGAATGAATGAGTGAAAACCAGACTTGTCCATGTCATACTCTTTGCACGCCCACCTCTCCTGGTTGACACCCCTACTGGCCCGCCCAGTACCCTATGAATCCACCCATTTCATATTTCTTCTTTTTTAAATATATGTTTAATTGGTTTCAGAGAGGAAGGGAGAGGGAGAGAGAGAGAGAGAGAAACATCAATGATGAGAGAATCATGGATCGGCTGCCTCCTGCATGCCTCACACTAGGGATCCAGCCCACAACCCAGGCATGTGCCCCTGACCAGGAATCGAACTGTGGCCTCCTGGTTCATAGGTTGACGCTTCAACCACTGAGCTACACCGGCCGGGCCCATTTCATAGTTCTAACCCCCTCCTCTTCAAGTATCCCTACCAAAGTGGCCTTTGGAAAGTTTGGGGTAGCCCAGGCTCCCCATGAAAACTTTCCTTAGCAGGCATATGTGACATTCTTTCGTCCCCAAGGCCCCTTCCTTGGGCCCATGTTGTCACAGGGAAGACCATCTTCACAGGGGACACCAGGACAAGGCCTTCTGCTCCTGTTTGCCTCAGGCACTGCCCACATGTCTGTCTCCCTCACTCCAAACCTCACAGGGACTCTGGCGCTCCTTTCCTCATGGTTAGTGTCTCCACTCTACTCAGTGCCATGTTTTTGCTACAGGGATTTCTTGAAGCATTCATTTTGCTCTCCCTCCTGGATTCCTCCCAGGAGCATACACACATGCTGTTACTCCCCCCATTTTTAAAACAAGAACTGCCCTAGCTGGTTTGGCTCAGTGGATAGAGCATCAGCCCCGAAGACTGAAGAGTCCTGGGTTCGATTCTGGTCAAGGGCATGTCCCTTCGTTGCAGGCTTGATCCCTAGGGAGCCAACCAATCGATGTGTGTCTCTCACATCGATGTGTCTCTCTCTCTGTCTCTCCTCCTCCCTTCCACACTCTCTCTCAAAAAAAAAAATCAATGGAAAAATATACTTGGTTGAAGATGAACAAAAATCAAATATTTTTTTTTTAAATTGAAACAAGCCCTGATCGGTTTGGCTTAGTGGATAGAGCGTTGGCCTGTGGACTGAGGGGTCCTGGGTTCGATTCCGGTCAAGGGCATGTACCTTGGTTGCAGGTGCATCCCCAGTGGGAGGTGTGCAGGAGTCAGCTGATCGATGTTTCTCTCTCACCGATGTTTCTAACTCTCTATCCCTCTCCCTTCCTCTCTGCAAAAAATCAATAAAATATATTTTTTTTTAAAATTGAAACAAAAATAAAAGATCTTCATCACACTGCTTTGTCTGTCTTCTGAGTGGCCAAGAGCCTCCTCAGAGCTTTATACTGTCCATCAAGGCAGAACCACGCCAGGGCTCACCTGCCTGGCACTGCTTTCCCCTCCCTGGCCCAACCCGCCATGGAACAACCCAACTGCCCTCCTTCTGATGGGCGCCCCCTGCCACAGGCTCAAAAGGGCTTTTTATTCTGAGGCATAACTGCAGGTCCTTTGTGCCCATGGGCCTTCCCCTCGTGGGTGCTTTATCAGATTCTCTGCTGCCTCAGATCTTGTTTCCTGGGCAGGGAGGGAGCTGAGAATACTCCACGCGGTGGCTTTTTCTTTCCCCCTGGTCTCTTGGTCAAAGCCGGTGGGCTTATAAATGTGTCAGGCATCAGCTAGAGATATAAAGGACTTCCTGTCCCAGTGGTCACCATGCCTCCTGGCAGAACCCCGCACTTCCTGCTGTCACACATGCCACTGCACAGAAGCGCAAACCACAGAGCATAAATCTCTCCACTTGCATTTGCCAACTGCAACATCGGGCCCCTCCAATGGAAGAAAGCCCTGCTGTCGGCCCATCGGCCCGTTACCCTGGTCTGTGCCCCATTCTCTCCCGCAGAGAGCAAGCCACGTGCTGGCCACAGGCTGGCCAGGTGGCGGCCACTGGGCAAAGGGCACCTAACAGAAAAGATAAGGGACTCGAGGAACATCCTCACTTCTTTCTCCCTGCCTCCAGGAGACAGCACGGAAGTTTACAGATACTGAGGACTCCTGAGAATGGTGTAGCTACGGCCCTCGCCAGTTTGGCTCAGTGGTTAGACCGTTGGCCTGCAGACCCAAGGGTCCCGGGTTTGATTCCTGGTTGGGGCAGGTGCAGGAGGCAGCCAATCGATGTGTTTCTCTGTGTCTTTCCCTCTCTCTTCCACTCTCTAAAAAAATCAATGGAAAAATATCCTCGGGTGAGGATTAACAACAACAACAACAAAATTAGTGTGGCTATGGTCACTTGCAAATACCTCTTTCCCCAGGCCTCATACCCCAAGAGGTAGCTATCTATTTATCCGTTGGAATTTGCATATCTTCTTGGGACTGTCTGCAGCAAACATTCTAGGTCAAGGGTGAGTGGGGAGCCAAGGAGGCTTAAGTTCCTCCTCAGTAGCCCCAGTGGCATGCAAAACAGTCTGCCATTCTCTCAGTGCTGGTTTTTTTGCAGCATCATTCTCCCCCCCCACCCCCCCAATATTTTTATTAATTTTTTTTTTAGGAAGGGAGAGGGGGAGAGAGAAACATTGATGCGAGAGCAAAGCATCCATTGGCCGCCTCCTGCACACCCCCTACCAGGGATCGAGCCCACAACCCGAGCTTGTGCCCTGACTGGTAATGGAACCAGCAACCTTTTAAAAAAAATATATATATATTTTCTTTATTGATTTCAGAGAGGAAGGGAGAGGGAGAGAGAGATAGAAACATCAATGATGAGAGAGAATCATTGATCTGCTGCCTCCTGCATGCCCCCTACTGGGGATCAAGCCCACAACCCGGGCATGTGCCCTTGGCCAGAATTGAATCTGGGACCCTTCAGTCTGCAGGCCGACGCTCTATCCATCGAGCCAAACTGGTTAGGGCGAACCAGCAACCTTTTGATGCATGGGGGTGACGTCCAACCACCTGAACCACACTGGCCAGGGCCCTTTTCTTTTTTGAGCACGTACTAAGCTTTGCCGGATCATCTTATCTCAAGATGGACTCTTTCTAAGATTTTTATTGCACGAAGGAAAGTTCCTTTCGATTGTTACAGTGGTTCTCAACAGGGCACTGATAGTTTCAAGCCAGACAATTCCTGGCCCTCCTGACTCCCAGCCTTTATGACAAGCAAAACTCATATGTTTGCAGATGTCCTGTAGGGCATGTCAATCTGTCGTTGAGAAACACTGTGATTTAGGTGCGGGGCGTGGGAGGGGAAATGCTTTTGTCTTCCATGTTTTATTTTTTACTATATTTTATTGATTTTTTTTACAGAGAGGAAGGGAGAGGGATAGATAGTTAGAAACATCGATGAGAGAGAAACATCGATCAGCTGCCTCCTGCACATCTCCCACTGGGGATGTGCCCGCAACCCAGGTACATGCCCTTGACCGGAATCGAACCTGGGACCCTTCAGTCTGCAGGCCGACACTCTATCCACTGAGCCAAACCGGTCAGGGCGTGTCTTCCATGTTTAAAAAATAATTCCTTGGCCCCAGAGATCTCCCCTTTATAGTCAGACATGGGAAAGAATTGGCTGCACACCCTCTCTACTTTTTTACTTCACATTCATTACTGACCCATTGACCTTCACTTGAGTTCAAACCCTTTCCTTACAGCACCGTAGTTGTATGACCTTAGGCACATTAGTTCATCTCTCAAATTTTTCAGACAGAACCCGGACATAAAATAGGAATATCTCCTATAGTACAGTTTTGGAGATTAAAGGGGTTGTGGTAAAAGACTTAGAACATGGTTTTCTCACATAAGCAATCTAACTAGCCACATGTTACTTAATTCTCTTAGAACTCTTTGTATTTTAATCATCTTGGAGGTTGTTACAGATAGATAACCATCAACTTCAGATAATGGTAATCCTCTCTCCTTTCCAATGTGTACGGTTTTTTTGATTGAGCAATTCTCTAGAAGTTATATAACAATGTCAGATAATACTGACAATGATGAGCACTCATGATTTGCATGTGATTTTAATGTATGATATTGGCTTTGGGGTTGAGATAGAGCAGGGATGGGCAACCTTTTTGTGAGTGCGTGCCAAAACCAGTAAAATCTCTGACTCAAAATTCTTCTGCGTGCCAACCCTAATTTTTTGAGAACATGTTACGCCTACTTGATATCTCTTAAGGTGTACGTATGTGAAGAACCTTGAAGAAATAATAAAATTCATTCGAGCGACAAAAACACAGTATATGATGATGAAAAATACATTTATTTTTTTAATGTATACATGTACACTGATAGTACGACAGAAAACTTTATGACTCCATTTGATATTATCAGTGGGACTTTTGCTGCTGCATCAGTGATGACAGAGATTTTACATCAGGTTTATATTTCGTGACCTTCAGAGATATGTACGGCTACTACTTTCATCCGTCAGGCTACTCCCATTATGAGACTTAACAAAATTCATCACTGAGAACAAAGATTCACAAGCGTATGTGGATGAAACCAAAACACTGGTCGGATCTAGGAAGGCAGGGAGAGTTAAGGCAGAGGCATAGAAATTGCTCTTCCCCTCTCTCGTCAATCCATGTCTATGGTCTTTAAGATAACTTGTTATGTAAAATTATTTATTTATCTAAGATGCACCTACACTGAATTTATCTGAAAAATAAAAAAGTCGATATTAAGAAAATATTGTAAATGGAAGATTATAAGAGAGGGTCTCGCGTGCCAGCAAAAGTTACTGGCGTGCCATGTTTGGCACGCGTGCCAGGGGTTGCCCACCCCTGAGATAGAGGATGATAAGAAAGCTTCTTTTTTGTTCTTCATTAATAAGGTGTTTTGTGTGTTTTGGGGCATGAGCATAAATACATTTATATCACATGCCTTTGCTGCATTGATTGTATAATTCTGGTCCTTCAACCTGTGGGTGTGAATCCTATTACTACACTCCCCCAAATGACCCATCCTATCATTATTGAATAAAGCAGACTTGAGACCTAGCCGGTTTGGCTCAGTGGATAGAGCATGGGCCCGAAGACTGAAAGGTCATGGGTTTGATTCCAGTCAAGGGCTTGTACCTCCATTGCAAGCTCAATCCCCCGATCCCCTCAGGGCCCATGCAGGAGGCAACCAATGTGTCTCTCTCACATCGATGTTTCTTTAAAAAAAAAATTTTTTTAATTGATTTCAGAGAGGAAAGGAGAGAGGGAGAGAGATAGAAACATCAATGATGAGAGAGAATCATTGATCAGCTGCCTCCTGCACACCCCCTACTAGGGATCGAGCCCGCAACCCGGGCATGTGCCCTTAACTGGAATCAAACCCTGGACTGTTCAACCCACAGGCCGCCTTATCCACTGAGCCAAACCGGCTAGGGCCCACATCGATGTTTCTCTCTCTGTGTCTCTCCCCCTCCCTTCCACTCTCTCTAAAAAGCAATGGGAAAATATCTACAGGTGATGATTAACAACAAGAGACTAAAGCAGACTTGAGGATGGCACACTAGTTACTCCTTGAATCCAAACAGGGTGGACTTCGCGTTGCATTGTTCGAGTGGCTGATTGACTTCCTTTTGCTGTCCTTGTCATGAAATAGGCTCTTGGCAGAGGGAGAAGCAAGGGCAATTGGTCCAGTAACTCCTTGTTGACTTGCCTCTCTGCAGGCCTGGCGCAAGCGCTGGTTTGTCCTCCGGCGGGGCCGCATGTGTGGCAACCCCGACGTGTTGGAGTACTACAGGAACAAACACTCGAGCAAGCCCATTCGTGTGATAGACCTCAGCGAGTGTGCGGTGTGGAAGCATGCGGGCCCTGGCTTCGTGCGGAAGGAGTTCCAGAACAACTTCGTGTTCATCGTGAAGACTACTTCGCGTACGTTCTATCTGGTGGCCAAGACCGAGGAAGAAATGCAGGTGTGGGTACACAGCATCAGCCAAGTCTGCAACCTCGGCCACCTGGACGATGGTGCAGGTGAGAGCAGAGTCCGGGTTCCTGTTGCTGAAGGGGTGGCCGGCTAATTTATATCAGAACTGTTGCCACCCACCGGGTACAGTGCCAGAAATGTCTCCCTTCCACCTGATTTTTTAAAAGATATTTTTATTGATTTCAGAGAGGAAGGGAGAGGGAGAGCTAGAAACAACGATGAGAGAGAATCATGGATCGGCTGCCTCCTGCACGCCCCACATTGGGGATCCAGCCCGCAACCCGGACATGTGCCCTGACCGGGAATCGAACTGTGACCTCCTGGTTCATGGGTCTACGCCCAACCACTGAGCCACGCCGGCCAGGCTCACCTGATTTTAACTTCAGGTCCAAATGTACCACACACTGAGCATTATGGACAACTTCAATGGCTTCGAAGCCGCTCTGCGCCTTTGCTCCCGTAAGCCACAGAGAATGCGTTCAGTGAAAGTAAAACGAGGGTGAGGACGTCCTGTAGGGCGCTGACTTTCCCCATGCTGCAGCTGCTGCCGATTCTTTAGAAATATAAGTATCACCATCTTTCAAAAACTTGTGGAATTCCAGCTTTTCTGTTGCCTGTTGTACTGCTTAGGACTAGATGGTAGAAAGGCAGAACTTGGCTACTTATCATAGGCGGGGAAGACTTCTCATATCTCCAGTTGGCCCAAGGTCTGTGCAAGGGAAATTTGTCCCACGTTAATTCTGGGCCATTTCTGGACAGTGGGAGCAAATGACCCAGAAGGCTCTTTCTCCTTCTCTCTTTATTCTCTAATGCTCTCTTAGACACACACACACACACACACACACACACACTCACACTCACACTCACACTCACACTCTGCCCTTTCTATGTAATATATGCTCTCTTACACACACACACACACTCACACACTCACTGCCCTTTCTATGTAATATATGCTCTCTTACACACACACACACACACACTCACACTCACTCTGCCCTTTCTATGTAATATATGCTCTCTTACACACACACACACACACACACACTCACTCTGCCCTTTCTATGTAATATATGCTCTCTTACACACACACACACACACACACACTCACACACACACACTCATTCTGCCCTTTCTATGTAATATTATATCAAGTGGAATGCACCTAGGATTATAATTCACTCCCCTTTATGGGTTTTGTGTCGAGCAGCATGCCCTGACCTTCAAACCATCTGATTTCTTTAAAAAAATATTTTTATTGATTTCAGAGAGGAAGGGAGAAGGAGAGAGAGATAGAAACATCAATGATGAGAGAGAATGATCGATCGGCTGCCTCCTGCAGGCCCCACACTGGAGATTGATCCCACAATCCGGGCATGTGCCCTGACTGGGAATCAAACTGTGACCTCCTAGTTTACAGGTTGACGCTCAACCACTGAGCCACACTGGCGGGGCCCATCTGATTTCTTGTACCCTTAATCTGGTAGACAACAACCTTACTCCTAAAACTTGCTCAACAGTTGCTTCAACATTTCCACTGTCACCTTGTGCTTAGCATTGGCTGCTGAAGTACCTATATTCAACGCTAGGTGGCGGTGGAGAGTCAGCGCTGTATCTCTGCAACATGCATGTGAAAGTGTTTCTTCAGGACCAAGTTTCCCCCCACTCCTTTTTTTTTTTTTTTTTTTTACATATTTTTATTGGTTTCAGAGAGAGAGAGAGAGAGAGAGAGAGAGAGAGAGAGAGAAACATCCATGATGAGAGAGAATCATTGATCGGCTGCCTCCTCCACGCCCCACACTGCAGTTTAAGCCCGCAACCTGGGCATCATGTGCCCTTGACCGGAATGGAACCCAGGACCCTTCAGTCCACAGGTTGACACTCTAGCCACTGAGCCAAACCAGCTAGGGCCTTTTTTTTTTATTAACCAGGGAAGCTTATTAAGTGAGGCTATTCAGGAACATTGTTGAGCTTTGACAGCACTCAGATAAAAGGAAATGAAGTGACGGCGTCACTTTATTAGCGAGTGGCAGTGAATGCGCCCTGGCTGGACTCTCACATGGCGAGCAAGCAGACTCTCTCCAGCCTTGTCGCTCACTCTTCGCCACCCTACCTTCAGCCCAAACTACTAGTAGATATATATTTGTGTGTCACGTTATGTGTTTCCTCTCTTTCCTCATCCAGGAGTTATCCTAAAACAGAGATACACAACATGTGTCCTAATATTCAAAGAGGAACAGGAATGAGGAAGGCCCCAGGCAGGAAATGGAAAGCTCTGGCACGAAGTTGGAGGAAGCCAGAAACCCCCTCTGACCTCTTTTATTCCCTGTATCTCCCCTGCGTTTTTAGAAGGATGTAAGGGCAGAGTCCTCTTCATGGGAGAACCACACCCAGAGGGCTCTCTGTGGCTTTTCACACATAGTGTTTGCTTCTGTCTCCGGCAGCATAGGCAGTCAGCACATTGTGCAGACTCTGGCCAGGAGCTCCGTTAAATGCTTTTGCATAATAGCTCATCTGATCCTAGACCCCTTCTGCGTCTCCACTGTACAGAGAAGGAGACTCGGAGCAGGAAGCTAACTTGCCCACGTTCACAACAGCTAGACAGTAGAGCCTGGACTTGAACCCGGGCAGTTCTGAGTCACTCTGCGTCCGGAGTTCTGAACTCCTGCCAACTTGGTTCAAAGGGGGAAATAAAAGCAGGCTTTTCGTTGGGAGTTTCTGAATGTTATGCTCCTTGAGAAATGTGGGCTTCACTAACCATCACAACACCCCATTTTTCCCTTCCTTTTCCTTCTACGTCATTAACACTCTATCATCAACAGTGTTCTTTATTTATGTGTCACTTGTCTGTCTCCTGGGGTGGACAGTAAGGGCAGAGTCTTTGTCTCAGCTGTACTGGCAGAGTTAAAACAGATCTGGGCTCATATTAGGTGCAAAGTAGGTGTTCTATATACAGGGGTGGGCAAAACTAGTTTAAAGTTGTTTGCATGGAAAATACATAAGAATAAATAATAATACAAGAATAAACTTGCCCAGCCGGCGTGGCTCAGTGGTTGAGCGTCAACCTATGAACCAGGAGGTCATGGTTTGATTCTCGGTCAGGGCACATACCCAGGTTGTGGGCTCAATCCCCAGTGTGGAGCATGAAGGAGGCAGCTGACCAATGATTCTCTCTCATCATTGATGTTTCTCTCTCACTCTTCCTCTCCCTTCCTGTCTGAAATCAATAACAAATATATTTTTAAAAAGAATAAACTAAGTTTTGCGTGTTCACAACTGTAAATCTACTTTTGCCTATTCCTGTAGACATAGACGTTTATCTATATATGTGTACATATATATACACATAGAAATGCATATGTAAGTACATACATTGTACATACATATGTATCTGACATGCATAAATATATATGTATATATATGTGTGTGTGTATATATATATATGTATATTTTTTGAGTGAATAAACAGTGATGCAGGCCTGAGGCTGAAGGCCATGTGTGTAGACTATTTAACTGCAGATTTTTATACCATGAATGCTTGGGGTGGGTTTTTTTTTTTTTACTCTTAATTGATTCAACACTTCACTCTTGGAACACTGGCCCTCTTTCCCAGACATTGTTTATAGCTTGGGGAAATGGTCTCCTCCATCAGTACAAACACCAGCTGTGATTTGCATCTTCTATTTGGCTTCTTTAGATGCTGTTTGAGAAATTGCGAGTGAGTGTTATAGCCATTCCTAACCGCTAACCTGGGAAATGATTCCTCCAGCAGATTCCGTGGAGAGCCTCGCTCACACGCCCTCCTCCCTCCAGCCATCCCCTGCCAGCTTCCTTCACACCGCCCATGCTGTCAGCTCCCCCTTGCCAAGAGATGACCCAAACTCTAATACCATAGCCACTGAGGAAACCAGAAGTGAGTCAGAGTTGCTCTTCCTTCCTGATTATCTGATTCTGTCCAACTGTGAGAGTGGAAGACTGCACCACGCCAGGTATGCTCATGCGCCGGACTCTCTGAGCCAGGCCTCTCCCACGCACTGTCCTCTGTTTGCAGAGCCCATGCTACCTCCTCTTGCAGGGCCTGTCACTGAGATGTGCTCAGTGCGCCTGCCCCAGTCAGCCCGTTTAGTGTAGCATCTCCTAGAGCAGCGGTTCTCAACCTGTGGGTCGCCAACCTGTGGGTCGCGACCCCTTTGGGGGTCGAACGACCCTTTCACAGGGGTCGCCTAAGACCATCGGAAAACACATATACAATTACATATTGTTTTTGTGATTAATCACTATGCTTTAATCATGTTCAATGTGTAACAATGAAAATGCATCCTGTATATCAGATATTTACATTACGATTCATAACAGTAGCAAAATTACAGTTATGAAGTAGCAACAAAAATAATTTTATGGTTGGGGGTCACCACAACATGAGGAACTGTATTAAAGGGTCGAGGCATGAGGAAGGTTGAGAACCACTGGCCTAGAGGATGTAGCTGCCCTTGCTTCTCTTCCTGCTACTGACAAGGTGGGGCCAGATCACTGTCAACCGCTATAAAGGGTGAAGCATGCGTTATACTCAACAAAATGAGTCATGGATTTCAGCGTTGTGGCTTTCACTTCTAACCTTGCATTTTCATATGAAAAAAACCACACAAAACAACCAACTATTTTTTTTCTGCATCCAGGGGTTGGTGTGGCTGAGGGTTGTAGAGGGAATGCAGCTACAGAAGTCAAATAAAAGTTGATCGTTGAGGATTGGGAGTGAGGCCCCCTGGGTTTTGTGGTGGGTGGATGGCTTTCTCCTTCAGACTTCTGCCAACTCTGTATCAGCAGTGTTGCTGTGGGACCAACTACAGTGGCCAGGCACCTGCTCCATTGCAGTCAAATGTCCATGCTTTTCTTCCCTCAGTTTACCCACCAGATGTGACAGCTGGTCAAACTCAGAGCGTTCCTTGGAACAGACTTCATTCGATGATGTTTTTGTTGACGGCCTGCAGGCGCTGCCCTACGTTAACTTGGTCCACCCCTCAGCACAGAGGAATGGGTCTCAAGAGGCACCTCCCACAAGGCCTCAGGCCGCCCTGACCTGGAGCAGAGATATCAATGGGCCGGCCAGAGACCACTTTTCCTCACCATTGCTGGAAACGTCCTTAAACCCCACCCTTCAGGTAGATAAGAACCAACGCTCCTTACCCTTCGGGGTAAAAGAACTAGACATTGTGTCCAACACGCCACCTCCCCGCCCCCCTAAGCCAATTCATCTCTCTGAACGGCGCCAAGAGGAGCAGCTACTGTGGAGTGGGCACAGCAGCATCAGAAAGCCAGAATTCACTGCAGCACCAAGAAGGATCTCCCTTTCGGGCTTAGATAACGTGAGAACCTGGAAAGGTAAGTGTTGGATGCAAATATTGAGGTACAGAGAGAAGCCTGGCTCCTCTTTTTAAAAAAAATATTTTTGTTGATTTCAGAGAGGAAGGGAGAGGGAGACAGAGAGAAACATCAATGATGAGAGAGAATCATTGATCAGCTGCCTCCTGCACGTCCCACACTGGGGATACAACCTGCAACCCGGGCATGTGCCCTGACCGGGAATCGAACCATGACCTCCTGGTGCGTGGAACTACGCTCAACCACTGAGCCACACCGGGCGGGCAGGGTTTTCTTTATATTGGTATTATTTGGTGACATCAGTAGGGACCTGGTCATGGAAAGGGAGTTAGGAGACTGTGTTCACATATTCTTTATCAACAACATCCATAATAATTTCTAGGATTTAAGTACTTTATGTGTTCTAGGTACTGTACTAAGTTCTTCATGTGCACTAACGCATCTAACGTTTCCAGCAGTCCTATGCAATAGATTCTATTATTGGTCTTATTTTACAGATTACAAAATTGAGACACAGAGAGGTTAAGTAACTTATCTAGTGTCACACAGCTAATAAGTGGTGGGAATAGAGATTTTAAACTATACAGTATGACTGCAGAACAGCTTTTACCACCGGTACTTCTGCAGCCTCGAAGACATAGAAGCATACGTACATACATACATGTGCATATATAATACATATTCTTAATTCCATCCATCTCCATCACATCTTTTGGAGACGGGAGTTATTCTCTCACTTTAAGATGATGTTGACTCCGGTTTATTTCTCAGAGACAACCTGACCTTTGACATCTCCAAGTTCTCGGGGGACACTTTGCTCTGGTCCGCATGTATTAAAAGCACTTGCCTCACTTGCCACCAGCAGTCAGCATTGTTGGCCATTCTCTCCTGCCTTAGGCCGGAAGGCCCTGCCCCTGACTTTGCTCATTACCCTGCGATTGCACCGTCAGGATGAGCCACTGCTCATCTTCCTGCTCTTTGAATATTGGGATCCTCTGGGTTTTATACTTAACATTTGCAACCTAGAGAATCTCATCTACTCCTATGGTTTTGGTTGACATCTATAAGCTGCTAATTCCCCAAAATTGTATCTCATTGGAGTCAAAATTTGTGCAAGGGGCTCGGGCCTCACAGCCCCGGCTTCGTCCAGAAGGTTGTCCGGATGGTCGTCCGGACAGTTGTTCTGCTGTTCAGTCTAATTAGCATATTAGCTCTTTATTATATAGGATTAGAGTCTAGACCATGAGTGGCAAACATCCGGCCCGAGGGCCGTATAAGGCCTGAGAAATCATTTGGTCTGGCCCTGCCAAGGCATTAGTGGTGAGTTAGTTAAATGTTTGACCAAATACAGCAGGCTCATTTTTAAGTTGATAATTTTGTATGGCCAGGAATGATGCTATAAATATCCAAATGGCTATATATATATATATATATATTTACAAACATTTAAAATATATTAATATATTTCTGTTAAATAATGGTGATGGGTATAAGTTCGGGTTTTGTTCTTAATGTTCTTTCCTAGCACAATAAAAAGTCAGCAATGCCATGTTGATCACTAACTTTATTTTTTTATCTTTTAATTTTTTTAAAAATTTTTACTTATTTTTAAACTTTATTTTATTTTTATGGACCTCTCTTTCAGTTCAACTATTATTCGAAATTTTTATGTCACACCCATCTGACAAGTTTCTAATTTGGTCTTAATTCAACTTTCCTCTCTCTCCATGCCTGTACTTGAGTAGCTGACTATGGCTGCACAAAATCACGGTCACCGATTCATGGTCACAGATCTCAAACGAGCCCCCAATGCTGCTGGGCAATGCTGTCACTCCTCTGTTCACCCTACTCTCCTGATCAGCACCAGGCACGTCTCACACCTTCTCTCCTCTCCTCAAACCTCCAGTTCTGTCTCCACCATCTCTAAGCTCAGAAAATTGATGTAATAAATACAGCCAGCACTTGTTAATGATGTGCCACACCTCTTCCTAACTCACAGAGACAACTAACGCTATCATACACAAACTTCTTCAAAATCTGGTCTGATTTCCATCTGTTCTGACTGCCCAACAAGACTTGCTAGCAAGCCTTGTGCATAGAAACTGTTACGCTTCTCTGCCTCTTGGGAGCTGAGGCCAGGGTCCCACAGTGCATAGGCTCTTGGACCCTAGTTTATTGATTGATTTATTGATTGATTGATTTTTAAATATTTTTATTGACTTTAGAGAGGAAGGTAGAGGGAGAGAAAGATAAAAATATCAGTGAGGAGAGAGCATCATTGATCGGCTGCCTCCTGCACGCCCTCCACTGGGGATCAAGCCTGCAACCCGGGCATGTGCCCTGACTGAGAATCAAACCATGACCTCCTGGTTTGTAGGTCGATGCTCAACCACTGAGCCACACCGGCCAGGCCTGGACCCTAGTTTAAAGGGATGTTGTCCTGCATATCTCACCACCCCATCTTGTTTCTTGCAGCTGATGTAGAAGGCCAATCCTTAAGACACCGAGACAAGCGGCTTAGTTTAAATTTGGTGAGTTTGGCCCTTGAGTTCCTTTAAGCCCTTGAAGTCTTATGACACTCAGCGCTCTGACTCTCTGAGGACCGTTCCAGTCTCCCCTTAAGGCTTGAACTTGTTTAGAAACTGCTGGGCTTGGTGTTCTGTGAGGACACTGCCGGTTCTAATGGTTCAGACACCCACCTGACTCGGGGTAGCTACTAAAGGCATCACTTTATTTTTTTATTTAAATTTCTGTTTTGTTTCATTTTCTTTAGAAAGGCTAATCATAGCCATTTGTCAATATTTTCAGCTTTAAGGAAAATAGTTTAAAAAACATCAAAATGTCAGTACACTCGAGTCACTGCTATTAAACAGTCCGAGCGGGCAGCAGATGTAGACTCTCTGAAGGCATCACTTTGTACTGAAAGCATCTGCATCCATTCACAACCGCCTGTCTTCCAGCATCAGATCTAGGAAAGCCATCACCCACCTCACACAATGAGTCCAGGAGCAGAGCTCGAATAAGAGGCTCGCCTGACTTTCCTAAGGAAGTTCAGAGTTATTCTTGGATCATTTGCAACCGAAACCCTGTGCGTAGGCCAGGGTAGGCGAGGCTGCCCACCGGAAGCAGTTTCCATGACCGTTCTGTGGTTTCCAACCTGTACCTGTTCTTTTGCAGCCGAGCAGGTTCTCCCCAATGTACCCCACAACATCAGCCAGTGCTGAGGATGGCTACGTGCCCATGGGCCCCCACGTCGCCACTGCTTGCCTCCGAACCCAGTGCAGCCTTGATGACTACATCCCCATGAGCTCAGGAAGCATCGCGAGCCCACTGCCCAAGCTACCTGCAGACCTGGAACCTCCTCCAGTGAATAGAGATCTCAAGCCTCAGAGGAAACGTAAGCCACGTGGCTGGGCCTGCTGTGTAGGAGAGGGGAGCAGCCATGGGGGGCGGGTTTCCTTCCTGACTCTCTCTGGGAAGGAAACACTAGAGGAACCATCCTAGAAGACCAGGAAGTTTCAGGGTGAGGAGAAACGGCTGGAATTGAATGGGAAGGCCCGGGGAACCTTGTTGCCCCAGGTTATCATGATAAAAGGAGTCAGCGGATTTACAGGCCCTGCGGCCCTGCAAATACAGCCTCCAAAGCCAAGTTCATTCCAGAGGCAAACAGCCCAGAAATAAATGATGGTGGATGGGAATGGAACCTCCCAGGCATCTCTTATTTAAAACAGCACTTGAATGTCATCACAGTGCCCTCTTCCTATAAGGTAGCTGAGAATGGCCTTTGACACAAATTTCTTTTTTTTCTTCTTTTTTTAAAAATATATTTTATTGATTTTTTACAGAGAGGAAGGGAGAGAGATAGAGAGTTAGAAACATCGATCAGCTGCCTCCTGCACATCTCCTACTGGGGATGTGCCCGCAACCCAGGTACATGCCCTTGACCGGAATCGAACCTGGGACCCTTCAGTCCGCAGGCCAACGCTCTATCCACTGAGCCAAACTGGTTCAGGCACAAATTTCTCTTAAAAAAATGTATTTATTGATTTGAGAGAGAGTGTAAGGGAGAGGGAGAGAAACATCAATGGGCTACCTCCTATACGCCCTCTACTGGGGATCGAGTCCGCAATGCGGGCAATGTGCCCTGACCGGGAATCAAACTGGCAACCTTTCGGTGCGTGGGGCGATTGATGCTCAACCAACTGAGCCTCGCCAGCCAGGGCTGACACTCATTTCTGAATGTCAGACTGATCATATGCACTATCGCTCAGTGCCCTGTGCATGAGTTGTGTCAGGTGGCAGAAGACTTCGGCCATGAGC